ACATGAACAATTAATCTAGCACACAAAATTTATTTAACACTTTTTTTAAAATTTTTTTGTATTGTTTATTTTTTTATTAATTGTGGTGAGGATAATAAATCGCTATCATTCATTTTATCCTTCGTTTTTGCCAGTTCACTATTTAATTTCTTGATTTTTTTTTCTTGAAATTGAATTGTTTGTGACATTTGTAATTTTTCATCTTGTAATTGTTTTATTGTGGCATCTCGAATGGCCAAGGGGGAAAAGCGGATCCTAGGATCCATCAGGATCCATTAGGATCTAAAGGATCCAGGATCCGCTTTTTCCCCCTTGCGAATGGCTACTAATAATTCTAATTGTTCGATTTTTGTTATTAATGATTCACCACGTGCGAAAGTATTCTGCAATTAAAAAATGAAATTATTTTAAGAAAATGTGAATATTTTTTATATCTATAGTTACTTCTTTCGCCTGTTTCAACCAACGTTTAGTAGACACACTATTTATACAAGAAAATGAAGATTCACGTACAGCTTATTACTTTCAAATAACGTTCTATTAATCTGAAACAGAATAATTATAGAAACATAGACTTTACCTTATTATAACACATCTTTTTTGTTAGATATCAGAAAATGAGATACATATTATGAACGAGTTGAATCATTTTATCTAATAAATAAACAAAGACACACTGCAAGGACGAATTCTCTTTGTATATAGATGACTATTCATCTATGTGACTGTATACATAGGATACATTCGTGCCGCCTTACACACAAATGCGTAACCGTGCTATCCATACTTTATGAAAATGCATAGACGAACTGCTTATGCATGACGTAAATACATAAGTAATTAAATATGTTTATTGGTTCCTTTAAAGAGACAATCAGTCACTTGAGTCGCACTATGTGCATCAACGTCACTACACATATAACCTTTAAAATTTCTCAGATAAGACGAATTAAAGTAAACTCTGAAAATTCATTAATAACTGATTGACACATTGAATTTTAATTTGAACAGTCAATTGACTTTTTTTTATTAGTAAACTCTATGTTTAATTTAGTTTTTATTAGTGAATTAGAATTTTCATCAGTTACAGTAGTCGCAAAAAGTCCCGCTACCAGATGAAAAGTATCAAAACCTCAACCATTTGGGCTCATATTTTCACCATAAATAGAACTCAGTGAACCCTGATCATAGGTACCAACCCGACCTCGATCAGTTGATGTATAAGGGAATTGGTAGCTTAATCGTCGTATCATCACGTTGTAAAGACTATGAACAAAAAATGTGGTGTCAGAAAACTTTTGTTGGTAGTTTTACGATATTATAATTTATTTATGTTTTTTTTTAATGCTGAATGTACTTAGGGTTATCCAAAAGTAGTGAGCCAGGTACTTTTTTTTCTTATAGAAAGCTTTCAAAAATTTTCTTTTTTTATGAACAGATAGAGCGTCTTTCGCTCTATTTTTCTATGCTATTTGATCACTATTCAACTAATATTATAATAATAAAATTTCGATAAGAACTGTTTTTGTTGTAAATTAGCTGGTAGCATTAGATCATAATGGATGGGGCATTTTGCATTTCATTTTATTATCACTTAATACGTTGTATTTAAAAAACAAAACATACCACAAGATGCAGCGTGAAAAGCTCTACAATTTATAAAGGGTCATTTATTTTATAGTTGCACTTTTTATTTTGAGAATGGACAAATCTCTGAGCGACCAAATTTCGACGTTGCGAAAATGAGATGTTTTTTGGTAAAAGACGAATTAGTTTTTTCTTATCTCATCTTTTATTACCTGATATGCGTTATTAGAAAAAACAAAATACACTACAAGACGCAGCGTGAAAAGCTCTACAATTTACAAAGAACAATTATAAAAAAATGATATAGAAAAAAAACAAATTCGTCTTTTACCAAAAAACATCTCATTTTCGCAACGTCGAAATTTGGTCGCTCAGAGATTTGTCCATTTTTAAAATAAAAAGTGCAACTATAAAATAAATGACCCTTTATAAATTGTAGAGCTTTTCACGCTGCATCTTGTGGTATATTTTGTTTTTTTAATACAACGTATTAAGTGATAATAAAATGAAATGCAAAAGTACCCCATTTTTAAGCCACACCTATTATATGATCTAAATGCTACCAGCTAATTTACAACAAAAACAGTTCTTATCGAAATTTTATTATTGTAATATTAATTGAATACTGATCAAATAGCATAGAAAAATAGAGCGAAAGACGCTCTATCTGTTCATAAAACAAGAAAATTTTTGAAAGCTTTCTATAAGAAAAAAAAGTACCTGGCTCACTACTTTTGGATAACCCTAAGTAGTTCCTTATGTCTAGTTTACTGAATCAAAAGCCCACCACATAATATCGAGATCTCAATGATCGGCAAGCTGTGCCATGATGAGCCCTTTTGATAACTCTATCTCCACTCTGGCTTGAGCTATGATACTGAAAATTTTATCACGAACTGCCAGGCTTTTGAGAAGTCATGGCTAAAATTTTCAAGTGAATTGATCAAGGTTAAGTCGAGTTATTTGACATAAGACTGAAAACTTAGACTAGCCGCTTAGCAGACAGTTTCAGTACGAAGATCATATCTCCATTAATACAAAGTGATTTTTTACCAAACTTTTACCACAGATAGCTCCGATGCTGGGCTTTCGAATGAGAGGTCGCGCGAAATTAAACATCGAGAAATGATTGAGATACGGTCTTTACAAGGTGATGTTACGATTGAGCTACTAATTCTCTTATA